TGAGGCTCTTGCCATGGGCTGCCAAGGATATGGAAAGCCTTTTTTGACTTTAGACTCCATCGGTATTTGGACACCGCCATAAGCAAAGTGGATGTTCTCTCCTTTCTTCAGAGAAGAGTACATCCTTCTTTGAGGGCCCTTTCTTTCCACTGAGGTCTCACAGAGATCCTCTGTGTTGGATATTTTTTGCCATAGTCTTGGCTTTGCATGCCTGAGGTGCTCTCACAGGCCTTTCAGCCTTAAGAGTTGATTCTGAGGTCAGAGTGTTATTTACAGGGAAGGTCATTCTAGGAGTCTGCTATGTGGACTGCTTCTCATATTGGACTTTCCTTCCTTTTTAATTCTATTATTATTACCAGGCACTTGATGTTTTTTATATGATCACTTTTACACTTAAACCTATCTTTATGCTGACTTTAACACTTTGTGTGTGTCTGTGTGTGTGTGTGTATCCTTCTTTTAAAAATGTCATTGCCAGATGGAAATTCCAATTACCCTGATTTGATCATTATACATTGCATATATGCATCAAATTATCACACTGTATTACATATATATTAAATTTTTAGATATTACTATCCGAGCTTTATTTTATTTTTTAACTTTTATTTAATGAATATAAATTTACAGTTTATGGATTACAATGGCTTCCCCCCCATAACTTCCCTCCCACCTGCAACCATCCCATCTCCCGCTCCCTCTCCCATTCCATTCACATCAAGATTCATTTTCAATTCTGTTTATATACAGAAGATCAATTTAGTATATATTAAGTAAAGATTTCATCAATTTGCACCCACACATAACATAAAGTGTGAAATACTCTTTGAGTACTAGTTATAGCATTAATTCACATTGAACAACACATTAAGGACAGAGATCCTACATGAGGAATAGGTGCACAGTGACTCCTGTTGTTGACTTAACCAATTGACACTCTTGTTTATGGCGTCAGAAATCTCCCGAGGCTCTAGTCATGAGTTACCAATGCTATGGAGACCTTTTGAGTTTGCCGACTTTGATCTTATTTAGACAAGGTCATAATCAAAGTGGAAGTTCTCTCCTCCCTTCAGAGAAAGGTACCTCCTTCTTTGATGACCTGTTCTTTCCACGGGGATCTCACTCACAGAGATATTTCATTTAGGTGCTCTTTTTTTTTTTTTTTTGACAGAGTGTCTTGGCTTTCCACGCCTAAAATACTCTCATGGGCTCTTCAGCCAGATCCGAATGCCTTAAGGACTGGTTCTGAGGCCAGAGTGCTGTTTAGGACATCCGCCATTCTATGAGTCTGCTGTGTATCCCGCTTCCCATGTTGGATTGTTCTCTCCCTTTTTTATTCTATCAGTTAGTATTAGCAGACACTAGTCTTGTTTATGTGATCCCTTTGACTCTTAGACCTATCAGTATGATCAATTGTGAACTGAAATTGATCACTTGGACTAGTGAGATGGCATTGATTGGTACATGCCACCTTGATGGGATTATATTGGAATCCCCTGGCACATTTCTAACTCCACCATTTGGGGCAAGTCCGATTGAGCATGTCCCAAATTGTACATCTCCTCCCTTTCTTATTCCCACTGTTTTATTTAACAGAGATCACTTTTCAGTTAAATTTAAACACCTTAGAATAATTGTGTGTTAATTACAGAGTTCAACCAATAGTATTAAGTAGAACAAAAAAAATACTAAAAGGGATAAAGTATTAAATTGTACATCAATGGTCAGGACAAGGGCTGATCAAGTCACTGTTTCTCATAGTGTCCATTTCACTTCAACAGGTTTCCTTTTTTGTGGTTGGTTAGTTGTCACCGATCAGGGAGAACATATGGTATTTGTCCATTTGGGACTGGCTTATTTCACTCAGCATGATGTGTTCCAGGTTCCTCCATTTTGTTGCAAATGACAGGATTTCATTGTTTTTTTACCACTGTGTAGTACTCTATAGAATACATGTCCCATAATTTCTTTATCCAGTCTACTGTTGATGGGCATTTGGGTTGATTCCAGGTCTTAGCTATTGTGAATTGAGCTGCAATAAACATTAGGGTGCAGACAGCTTTTTTGTTTGCCAATTTAATTTCCTTTGGGTAAATTCCAAGGAGTGGGATGGCTGGGTTGTATGGTAGGGTTATACTCAGGTTTCTGAGGAATCTCCAAACTGACTTCCATAGTGGCTTTACCAGTTTGCATTCCCACCAACAGTGGGTTAGTGTCCCTTTTCCCCCACATCCTCACCAGCATCTGTGGTTGGTAGATTTCTGCATATGAGCCATTCTAACCAGGGTGAGGTGAAGCCTCATTGTGGTTTTGATTTGCATTTCCCTGATGGCTAGTGATCTGGAACATTTTTTCATGTGCCTGTTGGCCATTTGGATTTCCTCTTTTGAAAAATGTCTATTGAGGTCCTTGGCCCACCTCTTAAGTGGCTTGTTTGTTTTGATGTTGTGGAGTTTCTTGATCTCTTTGTAGATTCTGGTTATTAACCCTTTATCTGTTGCATAGTTTGCAAATATTTTTTCCCATTCTGTCGTTGCCTCTTCACTTTCCTGACTGTTTCTTTTGCAGTGTAGAAGCTTCTTAATTTCATGCAATCCCAATTGTTAATTTTGGCTTTGACTGCCTGTGCTTCAAGGGTCTTTTCCAAGAAGTCTGCTTGTGCCTACATCTTGCAGGGTTTCTCCAATGTTCTCTAATAATTTGATGGTGTCGGGTCATAGATTTAAGTCTTTAATCCATGTTGAGTGGATTTTTGTGTAAGGTGAAAGGTAGGGATCTTGCTTCATGCTTCTGCATGTGGAAATCCAATTTTCCCAGCACCATTTATTGAATAGACTATCCTTACTCCAGGGATTGGTTTTGGATCCCTGATCAAATCTAAGTTGGCTGTAGATGTTTGGATTGATTTCTGGAGTTTCTATTCTGTTCCACTGGTCTATCCATCCGGTTCTGTACCAGTACCATGCTGTTTTGATTACAACTGCCCTGTAGTATGTCCTGAAATGTGGTATTGTGATGCCTCCAGCTTTGTTTTTGTTGTACAAGATTGCTTTAGCTTTTCGAGGTCTCCTGTGTCTCCATATGAATTTCAGCATCATTTTTTTCCAGATCTGAGAAGAATGTCTTTGGTATTTTGATTGGTATCGCATTGAATGTATAAATTGCTTTTGGGAGAATGGACATTTTGATGATATTGATTCTTCCAATCCATGAGCATGGAAGATTTTTCCATTTTTTGGTATCCTCTTCTATTTCTTTCTTTAAGGTTTTGTAATTTTCATCGTAGAGATCTTTAACGTCCTTGGTTAAGTTTATTCCAAGGTATTTGATTGTTTTTGTGGCTATTGTGAATGGGATTGATCTTAGAAGTTCTTCCTCAGCTGTGGCATTAGGAATTTTTTTTCATAATTCTGCTCACTGAGTATTTTTTTTTTTAAATGTGGTCACCTATCTTGGGAACCACATTTTTTTTTTTTTGACTGGCAGAGTTAGACAGTGAGAGAGAGAGAGAGAGACAGATAGAAAGGTCTTCCTTTGCCATTGGTTCACCCTCCAATGGCCGCTGTGGCCAGCGCACTACAGCTGGTATACCGGGCTGATCTGAAGCCAGGAGCCAGGTGCTTCTGCTAGTCTCCCATGGGGTGCAGGGCCCAAGTACTTGGGCCATCCTCCACTGCACTCCCGGGCCACAGAAGAGAGCTGGCCTGGGAGAGGGGCAACCAGGACAGAATCTGGTGCCCTGACCGGGACTAGAACCCAGTGTGCCAGCGCCGCAGGTGGAGGATTAGCCTATTGAGCCGTGGCACCAGCCTCACTGAGTATTTTTTTTAAGATTTATTTATTTTAAAGTCAGAGTTGCAGAGGCAGGGAGTGAGAGAGGGAGAGAGTCAGGTCTTCCATCTGCTGGTTCACTCCCCAAATGGCCACAACGGTTAGAGCTGGGCCAATCTGAATCTGGGAGTGTGGAGCTTCTTCAAGGTCTTATATGTGGGTGCAGGGGCCCAAGGACTTGGGGCATCTTCCACTGCTTTCCTAGTCCTTAGCAGAGAGCTGGATAGGAAGTAGAGCAGCCAGGACTTGAATCAGCACCCATATGGGAAGCTGGCACTGCAGGCAGCTATTACCCACCACAGCACAGCAACAGCCCCACATCAGTCTTTAAGGAACATTGATAATCTTTGGGAATTTTACCAAGTTGAGAGCTAGTCTTCATTAATCTAAGTTACCTACCTTATCCTTTTATACCTTCATTATAACTCTATGCATACTATAGTTTGAAAAACTCATTTTTGTTACTTTTTTAACATAAATTTTAATCTATTAAATCTTGTAACAATAAATATATTTATATAATACATTACTTTATTATAAGTAACTTACTTTTTGTTATTTTTTGTTGACTGTAGAAAATTGGCATCAGTTAGAGCCAATTAAAGATCATTAAACTGTAAAGCACTAAACATGATGTGTTCCAGTAATTGTCAAAGATGAAAGGGTGATTATTTGTGGAGATAGAAATTTGAGAGTTTAGATTTTTTTTCCTTTTCATATTTTCATTTCCATGTATTTTGATACCTGATTACTTCTGAGTATATTAAACAATGATAAAGTGAGGCTAAAAGACATTAACTGTAATTTATTTAGCAGCTTATTTAAAAAGAATAGCTTATGGGAACATAGTAATTATATGACATTTTATAAACACATATAATATGTAGCTATATTTTTCCAGTAAGTACCTTTTTAAAATATTTATTTGAAAGGCAGAGTTACAGAAAGGCAGAGAAAAACAGAGAGAGAAGTCTTCCATCTGCTGATTCACACTCTAAATGGCTGCAATGGCCATAGCTGCGTCAATCTGAAGCCAGGAGCCAGAAGCTTCCTCCAGGTCTCCCACATGGGTGTAGGGGCCCGAGTCTTTGGGTCATCTTCCACTGCTTCCCCAGCCATAGCAGAGAGCTGGATCAGAAGCAGAGTAGCTAGGACCTGAACCAGTGCCCATATGGGATGCTGGCACTGCAGGCAGTAGCTTTATCTGCTCTGCCACAGCACTGACCCCTAGTATGTACCTTTTTATTATGGAAAGTTTTCAACATAGACAAAAGTGGGAGAACAGTGTAATGAAACCCCGTATATTCATAACCTACCTATACCATTGTAGAATATGTTCAGTCTGGTTTTATTATCCACTCATTTCCCCCCTCTCCTCTGCAGAGCTAATTTTAAACAATTCCTAAACATCATGAGATTCCATTCAAAAGTATTTCATTTACTATAGTCATTTAACATGGAAACCATTATATATTTTATGATGACAAATTCTGTATTATTTATAGCTATTATATGTTGAGATACTAACGGCAAATATTTGTTTAAATTCATAGTTTTCCTTGATTCATCACTTTAGGTAATCAGTTGGCAGGTTCATATTCACATAGTGTTCCAAATTGCCTCTGACATCTTCAATAGATCAGGATGGTTCGGATGCTGTTAACAAGAATTGAACTATGTTAAGTATCATTTTCATGATAAATTTTACTAAAACTCAAAAATAATTTTGCTGTTCCATTTCAGAATTTGGTCTAACCTTTCTTTATAGACATCCTTTCATCTTGTCATCTTCTGTTTGTGGCACATATAATAATTTACAATGCAATGTAAGCTGGGGGCAATATGAGGACCCTCATTCAACCTGGACCCCAAGGTCCTTGTTGCTGAATGGTACTATGGTGATAGAGCATACCAAGTGAGGTTGTAGTCTTGGAATGGTCACTGATTTTGTTCCTCTGTAGCCAAGGTCAACGTTGGACACTAAAGGAGGAGTAGTCGAGTTGGGATGCTCCTGTCTGAGAAGCCAAATATTCTCCCTCCTGGATAACTCCAACATGTAGGAGCAAAGAGGGGGAAAAACCCAAGGACAAAGAATTCCTTATCCCAGACATCATTGATGGAGCTGCTGTGATCTCCTGGCATCTGCAGATTGCCATGCATAAATGTTTTCTACACTCAGGTGCTGGAAGTACACCCACCTGTGGAGGGAATATTTTGTATTCATTCCTCACCATGTGAATCAGTCAGTGCACCTTACAGGCTAGTCAGTAATTGTGTTCCATCCCCTTCCCCTGAGGCACTTCCTTACTTCTGAGTAGCTGGCAGGGTAGGGAGTCGTGCCCTCTCTTGTGCTTCCTGTACCCCCTTGGTGAATACATCTGGAAGTCCCATCCTCTGTGTTCCCTGTTGCGTCCTTTCCATCAGTTTAGGCAGCCAGGTAGTCTTCTCAGTGATCCAGAGGGGAAGTGGGAGGCCTACTGAGATATCTACCCTAAGCCTGTGCTCTCCCACTGCTTACCAGGGAGATTTTTCTACCTACTAATAAAGCAATGCAGCGTCTTCTGGTTGGTGGCCACTTTGCCTGTATCTGTGTGGTTATGTTCCATGACTGAAAACTTTAGAGGAAAGGTGTTATGGTAGAGGGGCTATGAGCACCAGGGTCTAAGGCCCAATACCTCAACCCATTATGAACTTAAGAAATATTCTGTGTGGGAATACTGAGATTGTGGAAGATACTATAAGAGCTTCTGCATTAAGTTTACATAGACTAGCTTAAAATAATGTTATTTTTCCTTTTTTTTATTTAATTTTTTATATGTTGTCACTAACATATTTACAAATTGGGGAGTTGATGGCAATGGGGATATTTTCTCAGGTTTCTTGCTTAGGAAGCAGCCTGTGTCCTTACATCATGGTCCTATTTTGTTTTTCCTGTGACATTTGTTCTCTGCTTCAAACTCCTGTCATTTTCATTTTACTTTAGGTCCTTCCTCTATTTGCTGTATCTTCTTTTTCCATTTCTTCTCTGCCCTGTATCTCCTCCATATAATATTGTTCCTGGTGTTTTTGACCTTTGCTTCTGTTGATCAAGGCTGTGCTAAATCACTGTGACTTAAACAATTGATCCTAAGCTTAGCCATTCCCCAACTGTTATAAACCACTCAGTTAGGACATTCATAGAAGTTCCTAGGATCCATGGTAATGGAGCACAGCATATAAAATTATGGATCAAGAGGATATGTTACAGGAGCCTAACACAAAGCAAGAAAATGAGAGAATGAGGCAGCCTTCATACTTTGATACCTGCCACTCACTGGTCACATCTCTGTGGTTTCATGTTGCTCTGTTTATGAAGGGACTGAGTGGGCGTTCTGGGTCAGATTGCAGAGTGTAATGATTCCAAACTCAGGGAAAACTGTTCTAGAGGGATCTGTCATGATACCATAGAAATATTTCTTTCTAGGGAGCAGCCCCAGCTGTTTTAGCAATTGACAAGGTGAAGATCTGTGTCAATTGATATCACCACTCTGTTGTAACAGTGTAGTTTTAACAAGCATGGTAATTTTAATAATGTTTAGTAGTGTGCATTATGGAAGTCGGAGGTTTTCCTTCTTCCCAATGGCCACCATACAATCTTTTAAACACAACTAGTAGCTGACATGGGAATTCAGGAAAGACAAACTGGTTAGTGCTTAACATCAAATTAAAATAGAATCATCATGAAGGTTTTCTAAACTTGTCAATCATCTTTTTGTTAATTTACCTTTTTCCTTGTTTCAATAGGTCCAGTGCCTCATTGATTTTTTCAAATGGCAGGGTATGGGTCACCAATGCTTCCAGATTGAATTTCCCATTCTTATAGTCAGAAACCAGCTTTGGGACAGTATCTACATCCCAACCTATAATTTGGCCAAAATAGCAAAAATTGAAAAACACAGCCCACAGGGTTAAGAAGTAATGTCATCAATGTTTGTTGAAGATTTGAGTCACTTCAAATAGATTTATCTCCTTCCCTTCTCCTTTAAGTTTCTATACTTATATCTAAAGATTTCACAAGAAAAAAGATCAAGATTATTTTCTACATTAAATAATTGTATCAATTAATTAAAATTTTACCTTTTATGCTTTTATGTTGGGTTACTTAACTGCAAATTGAATTTTAGTTTTTAAGATAATTACATTTCTATATGAACTCTGTCTGCTTATTAGTAGTTAGTGTTTATATAAAATCTACAGGTATGTTCTAGGTTATCAGTATTTAAACAATTTATTTTCTTTTGTGTCAATCTTTAACCTAAGAATTTCAGTACTATTATGAAGGAACTAAAAAACTATGAAGAATAAAAACCCACCGCCAAAGCTTGATCCTCTTAAAGTACGGCCCAATATTAGTTCCACTGGAGAAATAGTCAATCCTTTGTCATTTACATTGACTCCAACAAAAGTACACGATCCCCAGCCTACTGTTGTACAGTCCACGGTTGCTTTCTGGAAGGTACAGTACAAAAGAACACCCAAGTATACAGAAACGTAGCACACAAACTCCAGTGTTGGCATATGTTTTAGAGAAAATTTATTCAATTCTGCATTTCAGATAATGAGATTCAAGCTAATAAGGTAGAATCATTGTATAGCGCTTCAATACAATTTGAGAGTTCATTATAAAAAATAATAAAAATAAGCAGAACATATTTTTGCATTGTATTAATAGCATAGATAGGCTGAATCTAAAATATATAGTTATATGCAATAACTATCAATTAGAAATATTTATTAACACATTAATATGAATTGTAACATTTTGTTCAATGTATTAATGAAGATTATAATTTATTTTATGTGTAATTGTATGCCTATATACATGTGTTACTGTTAAATATAAAAATAAGAGATTCCAAGATGGCTGAACAGGGAAACAATATGTAGATTCTCACGGGAGAAGACAGTAGAAAAAAAAAAAAAAAAAGAGGAAGTGTATTCCCAGGGCAGAGTTGGAGAGAAGTTTATAGTGGAAATTCTATAAAAAGAAGAGGAGCGTTTTGGAACATCATGAAAAGTGTAGACATGCAGCAGCATGTAGGGGGACCACACATGAATCCCATAGACTTGGGCTGGAGGAGTCGCCAGGTTCTGGGAGAGAGGTGGGCAGACTGCAGCAGCCTGGGCCACTGGTGACATTGCATGAGGGAGAACCTTGTGGACCAGACTGATTTTGAGTTTGGCCTGGAGCCTGAGTGGGGCACAGGGTACCTACCTAATCCAGTGAATACAGGGCACATTTCTTTCTCCTCATCCTCCCACATGGGCTGCTGGCAACTGGTGGGGAATAGGCACTATATCTTTTTTTTTTTTTTTTTTTTTTTTTTAACAGGCAGAGTGGACAGTGAGAGAGAGAGACAGAGAGAAAGGTCTTCCTTTGCCGTTGGTTCACCCTCCAATGGCCGCCGCGGCCAGCGCGCTGCGGCCGGCGCACCGCGCTGATCCGATGGCAGGAGCCAGGAGCCAGGTGCTTTTCCTGGTCTCCCATGGGGTGCAGGGTCCAAGCACCTGGGCCATCCTCCACTGCACTCCCTGGCCACAGCAGAGAGCTGGCCTGGAAGAGGGGCAACTGGGACAGAATCCAGCGCCCCGACCGGGACTAGAACCCGGTGTGCCGGCGCCGCAAGGCGGAGGATTAGCCTAGTGAGCCGCGGCGCCGGCCTAGGCACTATATCTTGACATCAGTAGATACTACAGTGGTTCCTCAGGCATGTGACCAGTATATTTTACCAGAGGGAAAAATCCTTGTTTCCCACTTACTTTAAGTTTGGCTAAGAGGGTTGACAGAGTGTTGAGCACCCACTTAGGATTGGAGGTGCTCCCATCCTCTCAAACTGTCACAGGCTCTGGGACTCAGACTGCCAAGGCAGAGCACCCACAGACACTGAATCTGGAAACAACTCTGCTGTCTCTGTGAGTGGGGTAGGCTCACAGGGCAGTGAGGGGATCCTCTGCACCCCATGACTGTGGGAGCCTTCAGTGATGTATGAAGAAGAGAAAAAAAACCTGTTCCTCAATAGTCAAGACTAGGGTTATTCAACTTTTATTGCCTCTCAAAGTATAAATTTCATCTCTAAAGATTTCATTTTAGGTGCTCTGTTAATTATCACGAATCAGGGAGAACATATGGTATTTGTCCCTTATTTCACTGACTTATTTCACGTAGTATGATTTCCAGATTCATCCATTTTGTTGCAAATGACCAGATTTCATTTTTAACTGCTGTGTAATATTCCATAATGTACATATCACATAATTTCTTAATCCAATTTTGGTTGATGGGCATTTAGGTTGATTCTATGTCTTAGCTACTGTGAATTGAGTTGCAATAGGCTAAGGGGGCACAGATAACTCTTTTATTTACTCATTTCATTTCCTTTGGGTATATTCTCAGGATGGGATGGCTGGGTCATATCGCAGGTTTATATTCAGATTTTTGAGATATCTCCATACTGTCTTCCATAGTGGCTTTACCAGTTTACATTTAAACCAATAGTGGGTTAGGGTACGTTTTTCCCCACATCCTCGCCAGTATTTGTTGTTTGTTTATTTCTGTATAAAAGCCATTCTAACTGGGGTGAGGTGAAACCTCATTATGGTTTTGATTTACATTTCCCTAACAGTTAGTGATCCTGAACACTTTTTCATGTATCTGTTGACCATTTGGATTTCCTTTCTTGAAAAATCTCTGTTTAAGTCCATTGCCCATTCCTTAACTGGGTTGTTTGTTTTGTTGTTGTAGAGTTTCTTGATCTCTTTGTAGATTCTGGTTATTAATCCTTTATCAGTTGCGTGGTTTGTAAATAATTTCTCCCATTCTGTTGCCTCTCTACTTTCCTGAGTGTTTGTTTTGGAGTACAGAAGCTTCTGGATTTGATGTAATTCCACTTGTGAATTTTGGCTTTGATTTCCTGTGGCTCTGGGGTCTTTTCCAAAAAATCTTTTCCTATGCCAATAACTTGCAGGGTTTCCTCAATGTTCTCTAATAACTTGATGGTGTCAGGTTGTAGATTTAGGTCTTTAATTCATTTTGAAAGGATTTTTTGTGTAAGGAGTAAGGTAAGCGTCTTTTGTCATACTTCTGTGTGAGGAGATCTAGTTTTCCCAGCATGATTTGTTGAAGAGACTGTCCTTGCTCCAGGGATTGGTTTTAGCTCTTGGTCAAATATAAGTTGGTTGTAGATATTTGCATTGATTTTTATTGCTTATATTCTGTTGCATTGGTCTATCCAATTTTTTTTTTTTTACTAGTGCTAGGCTGTTTTGATAATAACTACCTTGTAGTATGTCTTGAAATCTGGTATTGTGATGCCTCTGGCTTTGTTTTTGTTGTATAAGATTGCTTTAGCTATTCGAGGTCTCTTGTGTTTCCATATGAATTGCAGCATCTTTTTATAGATCTGAGAAGAATGTCTTTGGTATTTTGACTGGTATCACATCCTTTAATCATTACATAGTACCTTTCTTTTACTCTTTTTAATAGTTTTGTGTTAAAGTATATTTTGCCTGATATTAGAATGTCGACACCAGCTTTTTTTTTTTTTTGACTGATATTAGAATGTCAACACCAGTTAGCATGAAATATCTTTTTCCATCCTTTCCCTCAGTCTGCGTATGTCTTTGTTGGTGATATGTGTTTCTTATAGCCAACAAATAGAGAGTTTTTTTTTTAAATCCATTCATCTTGTCTGTGTCTTTAAACTGGAGAGTTGAGGCTATTTACATTCAAGGTGACTTTTAATAAGTAACAACTTTGCCCTGACATTTTTCCAAAAATATTTCCATTTTTTACTTTGGATATCCTTTGTACTTTTACTAGGACATTTTCTTCCTTTATCTGCTTTTGTGGTGAAGATCGTATTTCTGGTTTTTTTTTTTTTTTTTTTTTTTTTTTTTTTTTTGTGCAGCATATCCTTAGGCATCTTCTGCAGGGCTGGACAGGTGGTGACAAATTCTTTCAATTTCCGTTTGTTATGGAAGGTTGTTTTTTCATGTTCATTCATAAATGAGAGTTTTGCAGGGTATAGTATTCTGGAATTACATTTTTTTTTTCTCTTAAGACTTGGAATATAACTCGTCATTCTCTCCCTAACCTGTAGGGTTTCTGATGAGAAGTCTAATGTGAGTCTAATTGGAGATGCTTTGAAGTTAATCTGTCATTTCTCTTGTGCATAGTTTAGAATCTTTTCTTTGTTTTACTGTGGTGAGTTTAATTACAATGCGTCATAGTGAAGATCTTTTCTGTTCATGTCTATTAGGATTATTATGTGTTTCCTGTACTTGGATGTCCCTTTCTTTCTCCAAATTAGTTAAGTTTTCTATTATTTCTCCAAAAAGGCCTTCTGATCCTTTCTCTTTTTCTACGTGTTCAGGATGTCCTATTGCCTGAATGTTGGGTCATTTGATAATGTCCTATGGATTCCTAACAGTGTTTTTATTTTCTAATTTCTTTTTCTTGTGTTTGGTCTGACTGTATAATTTCCTATGCTTTGTCTTCCTAGTCAGATATTCTTTCTTCTGTTTCACTGATTCTGTTTTTAATGCTTTCCACTGCATTTTTTATTGTTCTATTGAATTCTTTATTTCCAAAATTTCATTTTGATTTCTCTTTAAGATCTCAATTTCATGGGAAAAATTTTCTTTGTCATGTACTGATTTCATTAGTTCTTGCATTTGCTTCTGATTACTTCTATGTAATCTTTTTTTAGATTTTTTATTTATTTATTTGACAGGTAGAGTTACAGACAGTGAGAGAGAAAGGTCTTCCTTCTGTTGGTTCACTCTCCAAATGGCTGCAATGGCCGGAGCTGCACCAATCCGAAGGCAGGAGCCAGGAGTTTCCTCCTGGTCTCCCATGCAGGTGCAGGGGCCCAAGCACTTGGGCCATCTTCTACCACTTTTCCAGGCCATAGCAGAGAGACGGACTGGAAGAGGAGCATCTGGGACTAAAACTGGTGCCCATATGGGATGCCAGCACTGCCGGCAGAGGAATAACCTAGTGTGCCACGGCACCAGCCCCACTTCTATGTAATCTTATGATCAATTTTTTTGAATTCCATTTCTGGCATTTCTTCAATATCATCATCTTCACAATCTAGAATTAAGGTATTGTGTTCTTTTGGGTATGCCATGTTGTCTTCTTTATTCATGTTTCTTGAATTGGTGTTTGTTATTTGGCGGTTTCGGAGATACTTGTTGGTTTCTTCTTCCTCTTTTTTTTTCTTTGTGCTATGGCAGCTTTTATCTTTGTATGATGCCTCTGTAGATTAGTAGAGTGTTTGCTTTCAGTGAATATCTAGAGGCATATTGTGGTTGTTGCCAGGGAGCTCTGTTCAGTTCTCCAGGGTGAAGGGCAAGTCTAAGGTGACATACCCAGGTGTCCTCTTTATTTTTTTCTTTTTTTAAAAATCAGAGTGTAGGTTTATTCTGTTCAGCTGAACTCCTCTCCCCAAAGGAAACCATTGCCTGAGTGCTAGCCTCAGTAGGTATCATACTTGTTTGCTGTGCCCCAAGGGCCACACAAAGGATCTGTGCAGTCCTCAGTATAAGCTCAGATACCTCAGCAATGTCCTCACCAGGTAACCAGGGAGCCCTGAATATGTGGAGCCATCCACAGTGACTGCCTAAAGTCCCAGTCACACTGTGAGCCCTCCCACACAGCCTCAGGTTTTTTTACAGTCCTGGAACACAAGTCTCCCACAGTCACGAGTACCCAGTCCCCTGTCAGTTCTCCCCATCAGACTCACATTTCTCCACTCTGCTGGTTGCTGTTTTTGTATACAATCTGGCACAGCTGTTACGTATGTCCAAAATGGTGCCTTCTCCTTATCAGCTTATTATAGGATGCTGTTGCAGATTTGTTGGGGAGAGAGAAACGTATTCCTCCTTTTTTTTTCTCCTCTAGTTTGGCAGGTACATTATCTCCCGCGGGGCTCCAAGCTGGATTCCCTCTAGGGTCATCCTGCTGTTTTATCACCAATGGCTTGATCTTTGCAGTTTGGTCTCACCTCACCCTCCAGCGCTGTGGCAGAGGCTCTCCACTGCAGCAGTCCTGAGTTATGGGTATCCACATCCTCCAAGTGGGTCCACCATATCCCTCTAATTTCAGTAGAGTTTCCTCTGCTGTTTTCTCCCTGGCTCTTCCCCGAGGCTGCACTCTCTCCAGTTTTTTTTTTTAAGCTATCTTCTCCTGGTCTAGAGCAGTAGGCTCCCTCCCTACTCTGCATCTTAATTCTCTCTATAAAGTTTTAAGCCTTTTTAGGGCAATGTAAATTTAAAATATGTTAGGTCAAAAACTAAAAAAAAGGTAGAAGGAAGGAGGATAGGAGTGTGAGATGGAGGGTTGAAGGCAATATGATTATATTCTCAGATTTCATAAATCATATTGAATATGTTAATAATTTATTAAAATTAAAGTAAAAATTAAATTAAAAATAAATATAGTCTATATACACTTCAGTGTTTAGTTTTAAGAAATATGTACTATTATATATGCTCCATTTGATCAAATATAAACATTAACAACATACTATGTATGCTTAATGTATAAATAGTTAAGCAGAAAAGCATTCCTCCTTCTTTTTATGCACTCCAGTTAATTTCTTGATATGTTTTGCTAACAATGGTGCAACATATATAATATACTTGCTATTTTATTTAACTTTAGTTGTCAAATGAACATTTTCCCATTAATTATAAGTGAAGAAACCCCTAAAATTATCATTTCAAAATGGGAAATTGTGATACTCATGTAAAAATCAGAAAAATATTATTTCCAGCCTACTAATATTGAGCTTTTCCAAGGGATCTGAAATGAAAATTCAACATCTAAAAATAATATTGTTATGGCTGCTTATCTTAACACAAGTGTGAATTCACAAAGATAGTATTGGCATTTGGAGTACACACCAGTGGCCATCAGAAGCATGTATAAATGAGGGAGTAGGAAAAGATTTGCAGCAGACCGTTTCACTTCCTTGTTACCATTTTAAACATATTAAGAAGGAATGCTTATAGTTACTTTAATGAACATGCTCCAGCCCTCTGCTATTAATTGATGACCATAGAACAAACTGAAAATGAGATTCAAGGAAAATACATACATACCATGACTTCTGATCCACCTGCACAGTCAATAGCAAAATCCACACCTCCGTTGGTCATCTCAACAATGACATCCTGGACAGGTTTATTCAGTTCTCTAGGATTGAGGCAGTCAGTGGCTCCCAGGGCTTTGGCCTTTGCAAACTTGTCACTGTTGATGTCAACAGCTATGATTCTGGAAGCTCCTGCTGTTTTACAGCCTATTACAGCAGAAAGGCCTACACCTCCTAGGCCAAAGACTGCACATGTAGAACCAGGGGTGACCTGCAGGTAGGAAAATTATGAAGTAACTTTTAAAGCATCTGGTCCCACTTGTTTTCATGTAAGGGAGTGTGAGATAGAGGCATGAATATATGAATAAAATACTGTCTGTTATAAAACTATGTGATATCACCAATGTAGGAAATCTGCCAATGTGAAAAATTGTGTTACTGCCTAAACTGATGAAATTATTTGAAGGCAGACAATTAAGTTTATTTGCTTATAAAGAACAAACCTAGTGAAAATAGTTATCTTACTTTTTCCTTCATTGTTATCAGCACAAACTTTGAAAATACACAAATTCTAAAGAATTTATCTTTTTCTTTCTAAATTGGATTGAAAGTAAGTTGAAATATATATTTCTAATATAACTTCATTGTTGTTTTACCTTTACAATTGTTTTTGATTACCAATATTTCTATAATTGTGAATTTACTCACTTGATCCTTCCAAATTATCAGTTCATTTAAAAGGAATGAAGTCCAAATGTCTTTGCTTGGTATTAAAACACTTCTGTGATCTGACCTCTATTTACCTTACAACTTCATCTACATGACAGTCTCAGTACAATAGCCACAACAACTCATGCCTTAATTTATGCTGTTCTCTCAACCTGATACACTTTTTGCTGTATTTTATCTGATTAAAATATCACCTACAATTCTAGCCCTGCCTTAAAGAACATTCTCTCCATGAACTTGTCTCTATTTCATCAGAAATCAGTACACATATGAGCAGCATTGTGGTGTAGTGGGTTAACCCACCACCAGCATCACTGGCATCCCAGTGGATGTTGGTTTGTGTCCTGGCTGCTGCACTTTCAATCCAGCTTCCTGGTGCTGGCCTGGGAAGAACATTAGAAGATGGCCCAAGTGCTTGGGCCCATGCACCTACGTGAGAGAACTCAAAGAAGCTTCTGGCTGCTGGCTTTGGCCTGGCCTAGCCCAAGCCATTGTGGCCATCTGAGGAGTGAACTAGTAGATTGAAGATTTTTTTAAAAATATTTAATGTTTGGTAGTTTATTTATTTGAAAGTCAGAGAGACTGTGACAGACAGAAATTTTCCTTCACTGATTCACTCTTCAATTGCCCACAACAGCTGGGACTCTCCAGGCCAATGACAAGAGCCCAGAAGTTGATGTGGGTCTCCCATGTGGGTGGCAAGTGCTCAACTACTCGGACCATTACCTACTACATTCCAGGGTTCACATTACCAAGAAATTGGAATAGGAAGTGGAGCCAGGACTCTAGCTCAGGCACTTTTGATATAGAATGAGAATGTCCCAAGCAGCATTGTAACTGCTGTACCAAATGCTTGCCCCCTATTGAATCATTTTTTCCCCCATTTGAAAACATGGCTATCCAGAGTGGATGTTTATCTGTCTGCCAAGATCACTGTTAGAGAATATTCTCATGATTCCAAAGAACTCTGTGAACTGTGGGTTTCATTGACAGCAAAGGATACAAGCAGATTGAAAGGATTCAGGGGTCATACTGATGCAGGATGTTGTTGCTTCAGTTTTCTTCCTAGAAGTTAAACTCTATTACTGCTATTACTGAATGGGCAGAATTACTGATACTGCCCTTCCTTAATGTCTTATTATCAGATTTATATTTCCTCTGCGATGTTTTATCTGGTAGCATTTCTTTCTCAACAGTGAAAAGAACAAGTCCTGGGAGTTTAAGCACACTCAGACCAGATTTGAAAGAATGCTGTACAGTTCTACTGCTGGGTATATATCTAAAGGAAATGAAGTCATTATGTTAAATAGAGATCTGCACACTCATGTACATGCAGCAGTATTACAAATGCCAAGATATGGAAGCCATATAACTATGAATGTATGAGTGGGTAAAGAAAATCTAGTATATATGGAGTGTCCTCACAAAATTCATGGATGATACGTATGATGAAAAAACTAAGCATGAATTTGTTTTTTTTTGCCAAAAACTTATCTTTTAATTACAATTTCCCATGATCTTTTTGAAGAACCCTCATGTACATGACAGAATACTATTCAGCCCTAACAAAGAAGGAAATGCATTCTTTGGCAATGACTTTGATGAACCTGGAGGACATTAGGCTTAGTGACATAAGCCAAGCCCAGAAACGAATACTGGTCTCAGTTACACCTGGTATCTAAAACAATGAAAGACATAGAAGTGGAGGGTAGAATGGTAGTTCAGGGCTGGCGAATAAAGAATGGGAAGACATTGATTATAGGATACAAGGTGTCAGTTTGAAGGAATAGCTCTGGAAACATATTGTGCTAGAGCATGGTGACTAGTTAAGTTGATAATGTATTCTATAACTGAAAATGGCAAGAGTAGATTTTAAATGGTGTTACTACAAAAAAACTATGTGAAAAGATAAACATGTTTATTAGTTTGATTTACTTACTCCACAATGTACAGCAACACATCACATTGTATCCCATAAATACATAGATTTTTTTATCAGCTAAAAATAATTTAAAGAGAGAAAGCTGCATCTGAAACTCTAGTTTTAATATCCCTTAAGGAGCATAGAAGTGTTAGGTTGGAGTCCAGAAGCATGGAGTCCAGAGATGAGGGTGAAATTTCTTCCCTGAGTCTCTGATTCTCTCTAGGAGAGAATGCTCTTGTGCCTTGACTACTGCGGCTATAATTGAGCCAGATGCATCTCTTTTTTCTTTTCATATTCTGATGAGCAGAAGACTACTGTGCCTGTGACTGAAATATACGTTCAAACAGATAAATAATGCTTGCTTGTGAATTCCAGACTGGTCTTGAGAAAGCAAGCTGGAGTTGCAAAGTCATCTGGCCTTCCCTGGCCGGTGTGACCAGAGGTTTGAATTTATTCTAGGAGAATGGGTAAGCTTGAGCTCCAGATTGAGTTAGCTTCATCTTGATTAAACAAATACTGAAATCTTTCAATACAGTACTTTGCCTCTTTGAGATCCTAGCCAAATAACATTGTTTAGCTGCTTAGTTTTACAGAACATCCAACTGTTCCCTCCTCTAAAAAGAAAAGCCAGCAAGCAAGTTTTCCAGGGAACAGGGCTGATGTCTGAGATAACCCTGTTATCAGACCTGTAGTGAGCCCTAGCACCTGACTCAGCAGCCCAGCTTCCTTGCAGCTTCTTAAAAAACCCCAGCCTATCCTCACCGAACAGTAGTCTGCTTAGAGACTGCTAATTTGCTATTGTTTTCATCTGCTAACAGGTTAAACTATCTTTTTCCTCAACCCTCAAACTTTGTCCTCCTTATTTTCATTCAGGACCAAGGATAGGAACCGAGCTTTTGGTAAGGTGGTCACAGCAGCCATCAACTCCACCCGACTTCAATACATTTCCTCTAATAGTTTTCAGACTTTAGTTTGTTTTCCCATACAATGTTGTTTTTTAAATTAACGAATGATTCAATGAATGAAAATAATTAGAGATAATATGCTGATGGCCCAAAGTAGCATTTCTGTCTACTTGGTAAATGAAAATTTAAATGAAAAATCATACATGATATCTTGGCTACAAAATCAGTCTTTTGTTGTGGTTAGGCTGATTATATTTCATTGACACTGACCAACTGTAGGTAATCTGAAGAAGAGGAATTTGGATTACAAAGCTGAGGACCTAGCCTCACCAAGATGTTTTCATGAATTTCATATGTACCTGGTTTTACCCATTCATTTGTTGAAAAATTATCAAGTGCCTATTAGTTGCTAGGCACAGTGCTAGGCTCTGGAGGTATCACAATGAGCAAGACAGTTTTTACCTTTAAGGATAAATAGTGTAATAGGATGAAAAAATTAAGGGGGAATTTCCCCAGAGTTTGATGAGAATGAAGATGGGTAAATGCAGGTACTCTGGAGAAAACTGGGAAGACACTCATTGTGTGCCTGAGAGGCTGAAGCAGGGCTCCGTCAGGAAGTGATATCTGAGTGGAGTCTTCTCACAATGTGGGTGGGAAGCAGGTGTAAGGCACCCTGAGGGCACAGTGACCAGTGCCTGGGAAGTTTGGGTGGGACCCAGGGGACAACAAACAGTTCAGGGGGAAGCAGAAAGCCACTGTAGCCCACTGGGGAAACTGACCTTACCTGGAGGGGAAAAAATAACACAAGAAGGGTAAAATCTTCAGATTTGTTGTTTAGAAAGAGTACTTTGTCTACATTTGCAATTTTCAATCAAGGCATAAAGTCTGATGTCAGAGAGGTTAAAATAAGGGGGTTGTTTGAGAGATTCACTTGTGAGATCCTTCTTTGGTATCTTGCCCTAAAGTATCATTAGAGTTTTTAAATTCTAACTTGGGATTCCAGAGACACATTTTGTCACGGTCAGAGCTGCCTCCAAATACCCACCCCTGGAACCAAAGGATGGGACAAGAAGCAGAGATGAGTTACTACTGACTGAAAGTGGAGATTTCTCAGCCTCGGGAGAACCCAAGTGGCTATAAGGAGATGGGTGAGGGCTTCCATCGCTTCTGTTCAGTGGGGAAGGTGTCTCAGGAAGAGCACTCGGACCTAGGGGTCATGTTTAAGCCGACAGTGTTTAAATCAGGGGTGGTCCACAATCTTACTGTGGTGTAGTCTAGAACATATATTGGGTGCCAACTACATGCTGCCTGCTGGGTCAGACATTATATACCAATAATATGATTTACTTATCTCTATCAGTATCTGTCCCACTTGTTATTCCAGATAGGTTAAAACATTTGCCTAAAATCACAGAGACAATAAATGACATAGCTAGAGTTTGAAGGAGGATAATGGACTCTGGCTCCTCTCCATCACATTGCCTGCTAGTAACTTCTGTGTTGCACAATCTGATGTTTAACCATTTACCTTGGCATCGTTGATTGCAGCCCCGTAGCCAGTAGAAAACCCACATCCAATCAGACAAACTCTCTTTAAATTTGCATCATCATCTATTTTGGCAAGATTGATATCTTTTACCACAGTGTACTGAGAGAAGGCACTGATTCCTAGGAAATGGTAAATTGATTTTCCTTTGCAGGTAAACCTGCTGGTTTTGTCGTCCATTAGTTCTTGTTCAATTATAGGGTTTTTATGTTCACTAGAAAATTAAACAAAGAGAGATGAAGAAGGGAAAGTGAAAAGAAAACTAATCACTTACCTCCAGAATGTGCTGGGGAGTATATATTTGTCATGACAGCTTTGTAATGTTGACGAAATCGAGGAAATAATCTGAAACTTCTCATGTTAATAATATCGTGTTAGAAGTATTTTTAAAGGTAATAGCAACAAACATACTGAATTCCTTCTGTATGTCAAAGTTCTTTTAATGATTTTATATGCATTGAACTTTAAACATTTTGAGGAGAAAATCAATCATATAAAGCTAGAAAAAAGAGTGTAATGAAATCTCTTACACTCTTTGTCCATCTAGTTTCATCTATTATCCCTCCACAATACCAATTTCCTTCCTCTTATTGGACTATTTTGAAGCAAACCCCAACATCACTATTTATTCTGTAAATTGCTAGGATTCCTTGGGGTATGCCTATTTTTTTTTTTTTTTACTGATATACTTCTTACCTGCATTAATTTATAATTCTTTCCCTTACAATTTATTTTTTTGAAGAAATTGAGTCATTTGTCCTGTAGAAGTTCTCCTCATTGTGGATTTTGCTATTACAGTTATATAATCTGGTATTACATAGTTTTCTGTCCCTGTATTTCCTCCTAAGATAGTATTTTTGATCTAAGCACTTGTTCTGATTCAGATTTTATATTTATGGGCACATAATTCATACACAGTCCTGTATATTTTGTGAAAGGAATACAAAAGTTGTCAGAATCAAAATGGAGTCATGTGTCAACCCTAAGTAAAGCTGTAAGGTTATTGAAGAAAAAGTTCTTATCCATAATTGCCTGATAATAACTATCAGAAAAGACTGTTCCAGAAATACATTACACAGGGTCAACCATAGCCTTATACAAAAATTAATACTTTTTTTTCTTTCTTTCTTTTTTTTTTTTTTTTTGACAGGCAGAGTTAGACAGTGAGAGAGAGAGACAGACAGAAAGGTCTTCCTTTTTCTGTTGGTTCACCCCCCAAGTGGCTGCTATGGCCGGCGTGCTGTGCCGATCCGAAGCCAGGAGCCAGGTGCTTCCTCCTGGTCTCCCATGCGGGTGTAGGGCCCAAGGACTTGGGCCATCCTCCACTGCCCTCCCGGGCCGCAGCAGAGAGCTGGACTGGAAGAGGAGCAACCGGGACAGAATCCAGTGCCCCGACCAGGACTAGAACCCGGAGTACCCGTGCTGCAGGTGGAGGATTAGCCTAGTGTGCTGCAGCGCTGGCCCACAAAAATTAATACTTAAAAGACATACACTAAACCTTGGACTAAGGTCACCCTGGTCATTAATCATTGTGGCTGACAATCACTGTCTAAAAATATCTCATGTAATCCTACTTATTTTTGCCTTTGAAAACTTTTCCTGGGGCCGGCGCTGAGGTGCAGCAGGTTAAAACCCTGGCCTGAAGTGCCGGCATCCCATATGGGTGCCGGTTCAAGTCCCGGCTGCTCCACTTCCCATCAAGCTCTCTGCTATGGCCTGAGAAAACAGTAGAAGATGGCCCAAGCCCTTGGGCCCCTGCTCCTGCATGGGAGACCAGGAAGAAGCTCTTGGCTCCTGGCTTCGGATCGCGCAGCTCCGGCCATTGTGGCCAATTGGGGAGTGAACTATCGGATGGAAGACCTCTCTCTCTCTCTCTCTCACTCTTTCTGCCTCCCCTCTCTCTGTGTAACTCTGGCTTTCAAATAAATAAATAAATCTTAAAAAAAAAAAACTTTCCTTGCACAATCTCCTTGAATGTGCTGTTGGTTAACTATGGCATGCACATTCCCAGTGCTGTGTGCTGATATCCCTATTACAGTGCTCTGCTATTCCCAAATAAATGTCAGTATTCTTTAGAGAGTTTTCTCTCTTTGATTACTCATCTAAATTAGGTTGAAAGTTTCTTCTGGAGGGACACAATATCTGATCACCTCCATTTTTGTGATATAGAAAGAATTTATGGGCCGGCGCCGCGGCTCACTAGGCTAATCCTCCACCTAGCGGCGCCGGCACACCGGGTTCTAGTCCGGTTGGGGTGCCAGATTCTGTCCCGGTTGCCCCTCTTCCAGGCCAGCTCTCTGCTGTGGCCAGGGAGTGCAGTGGAGGATGGCCCAGGTGCTTGGGCCCTGCACCCCACGGGAGACCAGGAAAAGCACCTGGCTCCTGCTCTGCCATCAGATCAAGCGCGGTTGCGCCGGCCGCAGCGCCCTGGCCGCGGCGGCCATTGGAGGGTGACCCAACGGCAAAAGGAAGACCTTTCTCTCTGTCTCTTCTCTCTCACTGTCCACTCTGCCTGTCAAAAAAAAAAAAAAAAAAAAAGAAAGAAAGAAAGAAAGAAAGAAAGAAAGAAAGAAAGAAAGAAAGAAAGAAAGAAAGAATTTATGGTCACTGGCTGCATCTATTATTATTACAGATTTGCAAATGAGTGTTACAGTGTTTTTTTTTTTTTGATATCTACAACAACCTTAGGAAGCAAGCATTATTGTACTCATTTTTTCGATGAGGAAAATGAGGCACAGTAATAGATGTGAGTATTGAAGATTCAACTTTTATAATAAGTAGTTTCAAATAACATTAGTGAGAATTAGATTTTTCTGTAGTCTCAGTGAAATTAAAACAATTTGGAATTTAGATTTTGCCACTAGGTTAAAATTCTGTCTCCAAGATTTATACTATGAAGCCTTGGAGTAAATGACTGTGCTTTATTGCCTTCTCTAATTCTTATAGAATTGGCTACTATTCCAGTGATGTATTTATACTTTTATGACACATACATGTAACCATGGAAAACTTACGGTATTGTTTTTGTGTAAGACACCTTAGTGAAAATGTCCTTCAGCCACTTTCTTCTTTTCCCAACACTTTTTTTTGTAAATTATTTTATGTCATTATGTAGTTCAAGTTCAGTGATTTTTCAATGATCAATAGTGTTCCATTATGTTACCTCAGAGCAATTTATTAATCCATTCTCTCTCTCTCTCTCTCTCTCTCTCTCTTTCTTTTTTTTTTTTGACAGGCAGAGTGGATAGTGAGAGAGAGAGACAGAGATAAAGGTCTTCCTTTGCCGTTGGTTCACCCTCCGATGGCCGCCACAGCTGGCGCGCTGCGGCCAGCGCACCGCACTGATCCAAAGGCAGGAGCCAGGTGCTTCTCCTGGTCTCCCATGGGGTGCAAGGCCCAAGCACTTGGGCCATCCTCCACTGCCTTCCTGGACCACAGCAGAGAGCTGTCCTGGAAGAGGGGCAACCGGGAAAGAATCCGGTGCCCCGTCCATTCTCTTATTTATGGACATTCTTGCTGTATTAAATTGCTTGCTGTTATAAACTGTTGTCATGAACATTCTACCATGTGTCTCTCTGTGTGCATTTGTAACAGTGTCTTGTACCCGCATTGTGGAATTGCTGGGTGGGAGGTTAGCACCTCTTCGACTCCATTTAGGTGTTGTCATTTTGCTGTCCAAAGTATTTATATCAATTCATGTTATTACAAACAATGCATAGAGCTTACCTGAATTTTGTACAAAAGTTTGTGAGTGGACTCTGGCAGAACTTGCATTTTCTACAATGAGGTACATAAAGTGGAATTACTTTGTCACCTAGACAGAAAGAACATAGGTTAGATGGTGCCTAACATGTTACTTATGGTTTACAGCAGATGAATCAATGAGAAGTATCATTTCTTATCACATACATTTTATATTCAAAAGAAAGTATAGTTGGCTACAGTATCAAGTTATAAGATCTCAGATTCCCCCCAGTACTGCACATATTGCCATATATTATTCTGCTCAGTATTCAAGCAACAGGTCTGTATTAATATCATTAGGTGCAAAGTCCCATTTAAGACTGCTGTCTTTGGAACTCTACATTTTAACTGTTTGTTTTATTTCCAAACACTCAAAGAACATCCTTAGATAAAAGGAGAGGTGAAAACAGGCTAGAAGACTGAAGTAAACTTTACATTATTTCCTGTTTCACCATTTAGCTTCCCTTTCACATTCCACATTTGCCCACTTATTAAACTCAATTCCAAATTATATAATGGCTTCTGTCCTTTGATGATGGAGGGCTAGTGATAATAATTCACATTTAGTGTTAATTCAATATTTAGTATATGCCAGACACCTTTTTAACTGCTTCCATGTATTATCTTACATGATTCTCAGAATAACCCTCTGAGATAAATATTAGTATAATCCCTATTTAGGAAATAGGAGCTGTGAGATGTCACAGAAAAGTGACATAACCAGCCAAGAACACATAGCCAGTAGACAGCAAAGCTGGGACTAACATTGGTTAGACTTCTTCATGGATGCAAAACTTTCAGGAGCAGTTTATTTCTGTGCTCTTGTTTGGAATAAAATCTACTAATCTCTGTTTGGAGCAATTTCCTTAAAGTAGGGAAGTGATATGATTTAATCTGCTGGTCAAATGAGGATTACAATGGCCATATTCCAGTATTTGGTGGATCTGTTATAAAATATGATGTAAGTGTATTACTTAGGTACTATTACTAAAGTGTATTACTTAGGTACTATTTTTGCTTACAAATAGATACCCAGCATTAATATATGTATAATGCTTTTCATTTAAGCTACCTAAAAATTTTCATTCTTCATATAAAAATAAAAGCATTTTATTTCCTGTAGATAAAAGATTGTACATACCCCACGGAATCTTTAGTTTAAGCAACCCTGCCTTCTTTTGACAATTCCTTAGCATTGTATAAAAATTAACTGATCATGTTCAGAAATTTTATTAGACAATTCTAATTTCAACTATTCTGTTCTGTTGTTAGACTGTGATAGAACATGTGTCAGGTTTGCTTTGAAAAAGGTGGTTCCACTATGTAAATAAGATCGGATACAGCAGGCATTGCCAGGACAGGAATTATCACCAAAATAACCTGAAATATCCATCTAATTGGGATCAGGAATTAAAATACCTGGTTTGAAGTTGTTCACTCCTGGCCCAACACTTTCAACAATTCCTGCACACTCATGGCCAAGGATCACAGGGAGTAGACCCTCTTTAAATGCAGGATTGATCACATAGGTATCCGAACGGCATACGCTAGCGGCAATTATCTAGAAAGCAATAAAAGATTTGATCATGTTTCTGCCATTATATTAGTGGATTGGATCTTATATGTGATTTTTGGCCCAATGCCATCTTGAAGCTTTGTGATACTCCTGAACTCAATAAAAATTACATTTTGAAAAAAAGAACAGATAAAAATAAACTGATTGTTTTCTCTTATGATGCACCTTTGTTTTCCACCTCCCATTGTTGTTAGCAAATCTTAAAAACAGATAGAATCAGCAATTACTGTCTCCAGGAGAGGAAGCCAATCAAAGATAAC